AACAATAAATAAATCTAACTAAAGAGCAAAACTTAGAAAGTAAGACTTCATCTTACTTTCTAAAATGTCTGTAATATGAACAAATGACTTTTATAGTGAAAAATACTTTATCATTAAACTGAATTAATATGTGAAGAAATTCCATTTTACTATTATCGTAGAGATAGGAATAAATTATTTAATTCATTGTATTATTACTATTATTATTATTATTTGAGACAGGTCTTGCTGTGTCTCCCAAGCTGGAGTGCAGTCAGTCATAGCTAATACAACCTGCAGGTTCTGGGATCATGCAATCCTCCTGCCTCAGCCTCTCAAGTAGCTGGGATTACAGGCACGCACACCATTCCTGGCTAATTTGAAAAAAGCTTTAGTAAAGATAGGATCTTGCTTTGTTGCCCAGGCTGGAGATTTATTGTCAATAACATTCAAATGGGCCTAAAATCTTCACACAAATGCAAATAGCAGAGGCTGGCAGCTAAATCATGGATGGAGGGGAAAGAACATTTTAGGTTTATTTTCAGAACTGTTTTAAAATGTCAAAACCTCAGGTTGTGTTCCAGGTTGGGACTCTGGATCCATGGTTTAAGAGGGTTTCGTATGAAGAACCTGAAGAATCAGACTCGTCTGTGGGGACCATGTCCACAGGCACTGTGTATGCAAAGGTTCTGTATCATCAGAAGTTCAGAATAGATGCATGCTCAGAGTAATCCTTTCATGCCCAGGAAGGATGAAGCAAGACCTGCCTAACTAGTGAGGACACAAGTGCACGCCCAGCTTCTCCACTAGCCCCAAGCTGAGAAATCACACCAATAATTTTTTTACTTTTCTCCCATGTCCAATTAGCTGCCAGGCCCAGGAGACTTCATCTCCTTGTTATCTCATGATATCTCTGCATAGGTATCTTCATTCCCATAGCTGCCACCTTTCTTAGTTCTCTTTCCCTCACTCTGGGGTCCCTGCAGTGGGCTCCCCACAGGGCTGGGTCTAGTGGCCCCTCACAAGCCACCCTCTGTACTGGAGGCTGAGTGATGGCTCTAAAACACCAATCTGATTATTCACTCTCCCCACCAAGTTCTGGCCTCCACACACACCTTTCCACCTTGAGTTAGCCTGTTCATGCTTTCCTCTGTCTAGAATATTCCCCTCTCTTTCTTCTGGCTAACCCCAGCAAGTCTTTCAAAACCTGGGCCCAGCTCACTTCTTTCTCAGTGCGTGTCTTCACAATCTTCCCATTCAGATTTCAGAGCCCTCCTCTGCTCCCAAATCAACCCATGTGGACCAGTCTCACCGGTGCACCATGCCGTGTTGCCATGGTCAATTCATGTCATCAACCAATGGGCTGCCAGGCATAAGCAACCTGGGGGCAGGGGCTCTGTCCTCCTTCACCTTGCATCTCCCTTGCAAGCGTCCTTCTTGCACGTGGCACTTGGCACTGTTCTGATGACTTTATAAATATTAACTCATAACAATACATGGTTGTTAGAAGAATGTGCAAGCATTCATTCAACAAATGGGTATTGGATATCTAGCAGGTGCCAGGTACAATTTTAGGCGCTGGAGATTCAGAAGTGAATGAGACACCCAAACTTCTTATCTCAATGAGTTTGTAACCTATCAAGGTAAATGAATGATAAAAGATAGACAGGCATATAATATAATGTGAGGCAGTGACAGGAGCAATGAAGAAAAATAAAGCTGGACAAAGGGATGAAATATGACAGAGGTGTCATTTTAGGTGAGATGGTCAGGCCAGGCAGTCTGAGCAGAGGCTTGAGCAAAGTGAGAGGAGTCTCGTGTGTGTGTGTGTGTGTGTGTGTGTGTGTGTGTGTGTGTCTGTCGGGGGGAAAGAATGGGGTGTTAGGCAAATAAAACAGCATGTGCAAAGGCCCTGAGGCAAGAACAAACTCAGTCTGTAAAGAGCACAGCAGAGAGGCCAGAGCGCTGGGATGCAGGGTATGGGGTGGTATGCCATAGGCTATGAGATGCAAGGGGTTGTGGGTTAGGCCAGGTAGAGTCTTTCAGGCATGCTGAGGCCTTTGGAGTTTATTCTAAGTGTGCTGGGTATTCACTGGCAGGTGCCAAGCATAATGGGACATAATTCTACTCATCTTTTATGAGATATATGAACAATCAGGGGCATCACTGGAAGCAGGTAGACCAGTAAGGATGGTGGTCTGACAGTGATGATGGTGACTTGGACTCTTCCATCCTGCCAGGGAGATGTGGGCAGACTCTGGGTGCATTCTGTGAGGGGATCAGACAGGATTTGCTGATGGCTGGCTATGAAGGATATGAGGACCAGATGACTCCAAGACTTTTAGCCAACTGGTGAACTGGTGATGCTGCTTATTGACAAGGGAGGAATGGCTTGAGAGTAAGCTTGGAAGTGGAGTGTTCTGTTTTAAACCTTTAAGTTAGACTTGCTAGCCGGACGTAGTTTTGCCTTCTATGAAATGAGGATAATAATGTTTATTTACAGATTTTAGTAAGAATAAAGTGTGATCATTTTCTTTGATGTTATATAGATGGAAGGTATTTTTTTCTTTCTTTTTTAGAGACAAGGTCTCCCTCTGTCGCCCAGGCTGGAGTGCAGTGGCATGATCAAGGCTAGGCTCACTGCAGCCTCGAACTCCTGGGCTCAATCTCACCTCAGTCTCTCAAGTAGCTGGGACTACAGACATACACCACCACGCCCAGCTAATTTTTTTAATGTTTTAAGCAATGGGGTCTTGCTATGTTTCCCAAGCTGGTCTAGAACTTCTGGCCTAAACAATACCCCTGGTTAGGCCTCCCAGTCATTGGGATTATAGGTGTGAGCCACCACAGCAGGCTTAGAAGGTCCATTTGTATTCATACTCAGGCTAGGGGTAGAGTTCTCTTTAAAAGAACACACACACACACACACACACACACACACACACACACACAAAACTCCGTCTTATTAGCTAGATATTGCTGCACTGTACAATGGTCTCTCTCATCAAAAAATGACATCTGTAATAGACCCATTCTTTCTTTCTTTAACATTTATATAGAACTTACTATGCACCATGCCTTGTTCTTAGGACTTTGTAAATATCAATGAATACAATCCTCTAAAACCCCTAGTGGCATATACTGCTATTACCCACCCATTTTACAGATGAGACTGTGCTGCAGAGAAGTGATTTGCTGAAGGTCCCACAGCGAGTAAATGGCAGAGGTAGAAGTCAATGCCAGTGGCTCTGGCTGTGCTCTGACCACTATGCCAAATTGCACATTCCCAGCTTCCTGAGAGCCTGGCCATCTCTGACATGTGACAAGCCTGTGATATATCCCGTCTCTTGGATCTGACACCACTGCCTGCCCCTGTGCCCAGACAGGTGTTCCTGCCTTTTTTCTTACAAAACCTCTGCTCAAAAGAAGCCTGTTAGTGGTGAGGGAAACACCGTTCTTTGTCTCTCAGTCCTCCCCAGGCTGCTGCCAGCCACCCAGCACTGTGTCCTTCATGCCTTTCTTCTAATGCCCTAGGTCAGCCTCCACCCCGCATTGCCACACACAGCTTTTTTTCGTATCCCACTCTCTCCATGCGCCCTGCCTCAGTGCCAATTGTTACAAGTTGTTTCAAACGCTTGCAAGTATCACGTTTTCCACTCGTGCTGTGGCAGACCATGTTCTACATTGAGCCCAGTGCTGAAGACAGGGGATGAACATGACCTGACCCATGACCTCTCCAGAGACCTTCGGTTAGAAGACGTGCCTTTCATTTTTGAGTTCCCCCTCCTGGCACCAAATGGGTGCAAAGCGGGCATTCAATGAATGTGCATTCACTTATTTAGCAAATGTTTATTGCGCGCCTACTACATACAGGGCAGGCAGTATGCCAGGTGCCAAGGATATGGCGGGAAATCAGACAGATGCAGAGTCCCCACAGCTCCAGAGGTGCAAAGCCAGCCTTGGCCAGCCCCCCTCGGTACTCCCCTCGAGGGCCTGGGAAGGGTGCAGGGGGGTGGAGGTAGGGGCAACCTGGGAGACGTAAAGTCTGCGGGAAGTGGCGACGGCAACAGGAGCCGAGGCAGGAGGCGGGCGTGGCATCTGGCCAGAGCTACGTATCGGTCTCGAAACCCAGACTCGAGACACACGTGCCGCAGTGGCCTCGGAGACCCCTGCTCCACTGCGGCGGTCCACAACAGTGTCTACGCGGGCGCGGGTACGGGTGTAGGGGCGGGGGAGGTGGGAGGCAGATGGGAGCCAGCCAAGACCCGACTGTCTGGAGGAAGGCGGCTGAACAGTGCGTGCGTGGCTGGAGCAGGGGCACACGAAGGGAGCAGGCTGGCTTGCAAGGAGATAGAAGTCTGCGGTTCGGTGCCCAGACTCTGGGGCCTGGATTCCAATCACAGGCCTGTTGCTTACATGTCACCTTAGCCTTCACTGGGGCTCATTCACATCACTGGTAGAATGGGTTTCCAATAACCTTAGATTGCTGCGAGGACTTAAAGGGACAATGCCTAGAAAGGCGTTAGTATGATGCTCATCACGCAGGAAACGCTCCGGGAGCAGAGGTTGTTATTACTGGCTGTTCGCACCTCGCCGGGTCCCCTCACCTCCCCCAGGCCAAGGCGCCCACTGCTCTCTTCCAAGGGACAGGCGACTAACCTATTAGGGCGCGCTCTGCCTCGACAGATATTTGCTTGCTTGGGGCGGGGTTTGGAGTGAAGCAGGGAGGAGAAGGAGATGGTGAGGGCAAAGAAAGGGAAGAAGCGGAGGGGCAAGAGGCGAGCGAGGCGGGGCCGGGGAGGAGCCGGGCTGGGCTCCCGGGGCAGCGGCGCAGCGCGCACCGGGAGCTGGAGGCGGCGGGGGCGGGGGCGGCGCGCGGCGGCCAATGGCGCGCTGCGCTGCGGCGAGGGCGGTGCAGGAACACCGGCCGCTGACAGCCAAACTCGCCAACTCCGCCTTAGTCCCCACGGGATCCCGGAGCCCGAGCCGGCCTGGGGCCGAGGCCGCCCGAACCGCGCGGCGAGCGAACATGGCAGCAGTATGAGGAGGCTGGCGCCGGCTCGTGGCCACAGCTGCCGCGCTGCAGCTCGGGATCCCAGTCCGGCGCGCTCCGGGCCGCATCCTTAGCCGGCCTCCCGGCGGCCGCGGGATTATTTCATTCTGAGCGGAGGGCGGAGGAGAAAGAAGACTCCCCAGCGGAGCCGGTCCGTGCTCTGGCAGGGTGTAGACGTTTGTGTGTGCGACTCGCCGGCTGCGCAATCGACGCGGGAGAGAGCCGGTCCCGGGCTGCGGCGGCGCGGCCGCGGGGATGAGCCGGCCATGGAGCGGCCTTGGCGGGGCGCACGCAGCGGGCTGGCGCTGCGGCGGGAGCGCCGCCTGAGCCGGGGCTCCGAGAGGCTTAGAAGCCTGCGGCGCCCTGAGGGGGTTCCTGCCGCCGCCTCCGGGAAGGACGCGAGCCACGCGTGGTGGACACTGCCGCAGTCACCGTACTGAGGCGCCCGGAACTTGCTCCGCCTGCAGCTCGGTGCGCTCTGGGCACCTGGGCGCCTTGCCCGGTGCACGGCGGCTGGCGCACAGCGGCTAGGTTGGCTGCAGGAGCCGGGTGCAGGACTGGCTAGAGGTGGGTGTGTGCGCTTGTTGGACTGGAGATCCGAGTAGAAGCAGAACCAGGCGGCTCTGAGCAGCCATGCTTCCCGGGGTGGGCGTGTTCGGCACCAGCCTCACGGCCCGTGTCATCATCCCGCTGTTAAAAGACGAGGGCTTTGCAGTGAAGGCGCTGTGGGGCCGCACGCAGGAAGAAGCGGAGGAGCTGGCCAAGGAGATGAGTGTCCCCTTCTACACGAGCCGCATTGACGAGGTGCTGCTGCATCAGGACGTGGACTTGGTGTGCATTAACCTGCCGCCGCCCCTCACCAGACAGATCGCTGTCAAAACCCTGGGTGAGCGACCTCTACTCCGTGCCCCACGTCCCACCCCCGCCCTTTAACCTCTGGGTTCCTTTCCCGCTGCCTTTCCCTATCCACATCCCAGAAGCTTAACCTGCATCTACGCTGCCCCCAGGATCTGAGATCCCAGATCCGACTCATCGCTCCCTCCTTCCTCTCCCCGGCCTTCCCCACGTTTTCGCTTCCCTCCTCCCTCCTGGCACCATTTGGACGCGTTTCCCCACGTGAGGGGGGTGCGGGCTGGAGGAGGCGTGTGTTCCGGGGATCCGAACCAGGAAGATCAGATGCCGATGACAGGGAATGGGGTGCTCCGCGAGAAGAGGAAACTTAGTCCTCAGCTCTCTCTCGCTCTCTCTCGCTCTCTCTCTCTCTCTCTCTCTCTCTCCGCCCGTGTGTGTGTGTGTGTGTGTGTGTGCGCGCGCGCGCCCTGGGAGAGGCGAGTGCGCGCCCAGAAACGCCTGAATAAAGGGCCGCACACGTGTCTCGGGTTTTCTTGGATGTGATAGAGGACCTGCCCTTCAGCAGCTGTGGCGCCCTGCTAGGGTCGTTTGTTTCTTTCTACTGTGAGTTTAGCGTGAGATTGGAGATGCGACCATCGGCTGGAATTATTTCGTCTGCGCTGGAGGCAAGGATGGTGGGAGTGGTTGGATGGGGGAGCTGTATTAGAATGTTTTCAGAGGCGTCATAGGTTAGTAAAGACTGATTTAGTAAAACCAGGGAGTTTTAACTTTTGACTGCAGCCTCCCGGGAAATGTCTTCTGCCCCAATTTAGAGGAGTAGATTTTAAATTGTTAGGGGGATGGGCGAGTCACTTCAGAGGCATGGATGCTTTGCATCAGAAAAGGCCCCCCCAATTGCCTTCAGGAATAGTTTCTGAAGGCACAGTTGACCCGCGGGCTGGAGATGCGTTCAGGGTGCCTCAGCATCCAGTCCCTGCTCTTCTCAACTCCCTGGCAGTCTGAACAATCTCTGAGTATCAGCCCATGCCCAGGGAAAAGAGAAAGGCATGTTTTGTTCATCATCAGTTCTTATGCATAACCTAAAACAATCCCAGGAAGATTGCTTGATCTTACAATTCCAAGAAAATTAGCAGCTCATCTTTGAAAGTTCAGGTTTCTATTGGTCAGGAAGAACACAAAGCTCATAACAAGAATAAAGCTTATAACCAGACGCAGCATATAGTAGAACAGATTAGAAGGGAAGAACCAGAAACCAACCGGAAGTTATGTAGTCTTGGAAAGACTGTTTTATTTTTTAAAAATAGGTGTGGATTCTGGGTAGGTGAAATAATACATGTGTTTTATTTCTATCTTCAAAGAGCCATGAACAGAATGTAGAAACTCTTTCTCCATAGAAAGGGATTTTTTTATCAGGCTATTTGTCTGTTGACTTAGAGGTGATATCTGATAGAATTCCTAAGGAGGCTGCCCACATTGTTAGTTTTAATTGTCAGTTAATTTTATTAAGTGTCTGGCTTTTGTGGCATGTTTCTGTGGCCTTGAATTGAATGCCATCGAGTCTGGCCAATATTTATTTTCTGTTTGATGGAACAGGTATGTTGGGTGGCCATCTCCCTTGTTTATATTGGCTTTTTGCATATCAAATATTTTATAACCATCTTATGGTATAATTGATTCTGTTAGTGCAATTTGTACAAAACTGATCCTTCGTGAGCCTTGCCTATACTGGAGAGCTTAGGACTGGTCATATCAGAAAGGCCATATTGTAACATCGTTTCTCCACCATAGAGATGGTGGTTTCTGTCCTGGGTTCAGACCCACAGAGCAAACTTAGAGCAGAAGGGTGGCAATTTGGGGAAGAAGGATGACCTTGTTTTCTGGCTGTCTCTGGTACCTTGGCCAGGAAAATATTTGGGGGCTCTGGTTTCAAGAGATGTGACACCAATTAGACATTTCTGGATACTTCTTCTGTTCTTATTTTTCAAATATCCCTGTGGCTTTTATTTCATTAACAAGACATGTCCGTTACCTCTTCAAAACCAATGATAAGAGGCACAATAGACCTAGTTTAATAATGGTGATGACAGAATAGGGTTTTGTTCATGTTTTTATGGTAGGTTTTGAGTTCCTTTCTTTTTTCTTTTTTTAACTCCCTCTTTTGCAGGGTGTCCCTGCGAGGGCACAGTGGGGTGGTCATCTTGGTTTATTATGCATTCACTGTTGAAGGTTCAACACACACAACACAGGAAGTCAAAAACCCCAAACAGTTATCAGTCTGGCCTGGCTGTTAGGAGTGTATAGATAAGAGTGTTTGCCTGGAATTGAAACTAGCCACTCTGACTCATCCTGGTAAAGGCCTGGACTTTGAGTTGCTTGCCCAGTGATGGTGACAGGTCTGTGGCTCTACACTCATAACTGGTCACAGGCCTGTCAAAGTAAGGCACTGACTAGGGACCACAGTGAAATGAAACTTCAGATTGATTAAATCACACATGTCCTCCTTTAATTTTTAAAAATTTCCTCGAAATCCCTACCTTAGTGAGTGAAGCATCCCTCTGTTATAGAGGCAGTTCTACCAAGTGCACTTTCTACACTGTCCAAGGCTGCCTCTTATTAAGTATGTATTGTGTGCCAGGCAGCATGGTAAGTGCTGTGTATAAAGCATTTCATTTCATGACTAAAATAATCCTCTAAGATAGATTTCACAAATGAAGCAGCTGAGATTCAGAGACCTGAGTCACATTGCTCCTGGACCTACAGCTAGAGATTTGAACCCACCACTCTGCTTCCCCCGGAGTAATTTCTTCCTCTTCCATCAGCTATACTGGCTCCACTTCATAGATCATGGCAGCCCAGGTGAGACTGTTGGGGTTGTCCTTTATTCCTTTTTCATCTTAGCCCTAGAATCAGTTCCCAAACCTGGTTGATGCCATCTGAAAGTCTCTGTTCCTCATAAAAGTCAGGTCCTGGCCGGGCGCTGTGGCTCACACATGTAATCCCAGCACTTTGGGAGACCGAGGCGGGTGGATCACCTGACCAATATGGCGAAACCCCATCTCTACTAAAAATACAAAAATTAGCTGGGTGTGGTGGTGGGCATCCGTAGTCCCAGCTACTTAGGAAGCTGAGACGGGAGTATTGCTTGAACCTGGGAGGTGGAGGTTGCAGTGAACCAAGATCATGCCACTGTACTCCAGCCTGGGTGACAGAGCAAGACTCTGTCTCAAAAAAAAAAAAAAAAAAAAAAAAAAGGC